ATGTCAGCTTTGCCAGAGCTGCCAGATGACAAACCCAAGACGCGTAAGCTGGGATTGATGCCTCAAAGACTTGCGAGGAGATCCCTTGGGAAGACTATGTATCGACCTGATAGGTCCTTACAACGTCGGGGATCCTAAGAAAAAGAATTCCTGCACACTTCATTCCTTGACAATGATTGATCCATAACCGGATGGTTCGAGATTGCAGAGATCTGCTCCAAGGCAGCAGACGAAGTAGCATCGTCCTAGAACAAACTGGCTTACTCGGTATCCATGGCTTGCTGAGGTTATCATGGATAGAGGAGTGAGTTCCGCGCAGAGTCGAAAAGACTCTCCGGGATGAATATGGACTTCGTCGCAAGTTCATCACTACGACTAACCCTCAAGCCAACTCTATGGTCGAGCGTGCTCATCAGACCATACGAACTTGATGCTGTTCAAAATCAGTGCCAAGACGACCTGTGAATGGATCCTGGGATGGAGTCCTCACGGCGGTCGCTTTGCAATGAATGCCACGATTCATACCACCTGCGTGCAACGCCCACACTCGTGTTCAATGCGTGACGTTCACGTCGTTCAACATACTATCAGGAACCAACTAATCAAAACAGCACAAAACGAATGCACTATCGATCAATATTCACACATCCGCTATGATTCACATATCGACCGCAAGTACGGTCAGCCAAAGTACAAAGGTCCTTACACTATGACCGAGTCAATGACAATGGCCTGTACGGCTCCGACATGCTACGCCAATGGCGGCACAGTCTACAGACTTGGAACATAAGGTATTACACCCATACAAGGCCTGATCCCCTTGTAGGATTGCATCGTGCGACGCACATGTCTACATCCAAATCTCATGAGAGTGCCCCCCACTTTAAATCATATGTTTCCTTGTCCGACTGCTGTCGCGCCTTCTGTGACCCTTGTCAGGGGGCAATGCAATACACGGCTCTTAGCCTTATTCGCGACTCGATCCTAGATAGGGTTTGAGTTCGACTCATGACTGAGTCCTCGTGAATAGTCATTCTGAAATTTGAGACAGGGTTCTCAATGACCGCTCTAGTCATACTAGGTTGATGATGAAACATCGCTCTAGATTTAGCCAGCGTAGAGTACTTCCACGCTACTAGATCCATGCTAGACAAATCTTCCACGCGTTCCGTTTTAGGATCGTGGAGATACGTAGGATTACTACCGCAACCTACTCTATCACACTTTATAGTCTCCCGCGGGAGACCAGATCTACGATCCCTTGATGATGATCTCTCTCGTTGATTAGTTTTCATAGCTTTCTAATCTCTCTCAAAACTTTCATTCTCTCAAACTCAAAACACTTGAAAGATCTTTACACTAGCTTTTAGCGTAGTGCACTACACAATTCGGTGCCACTGGATCCCTCCTTCCCCCGATCTTGCACCTCTGTTCAACCAGACTCTGGAAAGCGGCGAGTCCTAGACCTGACCCTATTCAACAAGCATGAGACAGTGGTCGTTGGTAGTGGTTTCACAGCAGGCATTCCTGCTCGTCCACTACCACCCACACCAACAACATTTGAGGATTTCCTAGCCACTTTGGAGCCTTGGGAGACAGCTCTCTATGACGAGCTTGAATGGAGGGTGGACGCTTACTCCGTCCTGCAGATTGTCACAGCCATGCCATTCTGGGTGGCAAGTGATGGAGCTGCAGACATTGACGCCGGTAAGGCGAGCTTTGCTTGGGTTCTGGCAGACAATCGCGGTCAGATTGTGCTTCGGTGCTCTGGTCCCGTTTTTGGTATGGTTCCGACATCCTACAGGGCGGAGGCTTATGGCATTCTATCCCCTACTTGCCTTCTGCGGAGATTGCTGGAGTTCTACGACCGAACCAGCATGAAGAATTATGTACACTTGTGCGACAATGAATCCGTTACCAAAAAGTGTGCTGGCTGTCTGGATTACGAGGGCTGGTACCCCAATGATTCCTTAGACTCCGATTGGGATGTCCTGCAGCAGATCGAGGAATCGTTTCGGGCTGCCATCACAGTGCCCAAGATGGAGCACATCAAATCGCACCAGGATAAGCAAAAGGCCATCAAAACCCTACCTTTGAAGGCACAACTTAACTGCAGAGCCGACAAACTGGCAGGCAGTTACATGACCAGACACATGAAACAAGACCACTCCAAGGTACTCCGATTTCCAGCCAACTTGGCCCAGCTGCACCTTCCCAAAGGAACATGCACATACAAGCTTCCCAGAACTCTACGGCATCTAAGGAACAACCAGCCCTTGTTCGACCACATTGTCAAACTGAATCCTGACTGGGATGAGGACAGACCAGCTTTGGTTGATTGGACGGCACATGGTCGTGCTGTAAATAGACATGAGATCCACAAACCGACAATTGTGAAGTTTCTATTTCAATTGTTGCCCGTTGGGAAACGGATTCACCGAGACGACCCCAAGTATGATCACCACTGTCCCCGTTGCGGCGGTGATCATGAGACTGAGACCCATGTTTACAGATGCCCACATATTGACGTGGATTTGTGGCGAGGGACCATGCAACGAGCGATCAGCACAAAGTTGCGTAAGGATTCCACGGATCCTTTCCTCCTGGAAATTGTTCTTGATGGGCTTCAATATCACTTTGAAGACTGGTTCCTACACCCGTGGCATTACCCAGACCGGTATAGGGACCTTGTTGACACTCAAAATCTCATTGGTTGGGATAACTTCCTGAGAGGACGTTTGTCCAAGCACTGGGCTAAGCATCAAGATGCATATCTGCATCGGGTCGGCTCCCAGGAGACCACCAAGACCGGGCAGCTCTGGGTCACCAACCTGGCTTCTGTTCTGATCCAGCAGTGGTGGAATCTCTGGGAGGACCGCAATGCCGCCAGGTACGGCCGGGATCAGGAACAGAAATGGCGCAAGAAACACGAACAGCTCCAACGAGAGGTTGAGCTCCTGTATGAAAAAGCGGACCTGCTCCCAGAGCATCTTCTTGATACCATCTTCAAACGACCCCTGGAGGCACAGATGGCCAAAGGGCCGGGGGATATCAAAGCATGGCTGGCCAATTGGCTTCCAGTTGTGGACAAAGCAATGAGGGAAGAGCATGCACGTGAGCAGCCTTCTCAATCAGGGTAACTATGCACCGGTGTGGGACTCCCATAGCAATAGCGGGCGATTTAGCCTAGCGTAGATAGTTAGTCATACAGCACCCTCCGGAGTTTTGTTCAATTTCTCCGGTGGGGGGCTTACACTAGGCCCATCCTAAGTGGGCGCCCTTGTGCGCCTGAGGTATATGGGTTCGTCACGGCACCGTTCAGCGGATCGTCTGACGAGGTGTAGCCTTTAAAATAAAACTTCGTTATTTTTTATCATGGATAGAGGACGTGAGTTCCGCACAGAAGTCGAGAAGACTCTCCGGGATGAATATAGACTTCGTCGCAAGTTCATCACCACACGTAACCCTCAAGCCAACTCGATGGTCGAGCGTGCTCATCAGGCCATTCGTAACTTGATAGCTGTTCAAAATATCAAGTGCCAAGACGACCTCGTAAATGGATCCTGGGATGGAGTCCTCACGGCGGTTCGGTTCGCAATGAATGCCACGATTCATACCACCTTGCGTGCAACGCCCGCACAGCTCGTGTTCAATCGTGACGCGATTCACAACGTCCGTTTCGAAGCAAACTGGAAATACATCAAGGAACGTCGCCAACGACTTATCCAGAAAAACAATGATAGGGAGAATGCGACGCGTGTCCCTCATCAATACAATGTCAATGATACTGTGATGATTCAACAGTATCAGCACCGCAAGTACGGTCAGCCAAAGTACAAAGGTCCTTACACTATAGACCGAGTCAATGACAATGGCACTGTACGGCTCCGACATGCTACCGCCAATGGCGGCACAGTCTACCAGACTTGGAACATAAGGTATTTACACCCATACAAGGCTTGATCCCCTTGTAGGATTGCCATCGTGCGACGCACATGTCTACATCCAATCTCTGGAGAGTGCCCCGCACTTTAATTCATATGTTCTCCTTGTCCGACTGCTGTCGTGCCTCCTGTGACCCTTGTCAGGGGGCGAATGCAATACACGGCTATTAGCCTTATCTCAGATAGGGTTTGAGTTCGACTCATGACGTAGTCCTTCGCCAATAGTCATTGAGACAGGGTTCTCATGACTGCTAGTCATACTAGGTTGTCGATGAAACATCGCTCTAGATATTTAGCCGGCGTGGAAAGCTTCCACGCTACTAGATAGCTACTAGCTGAAGTTTCCACATGTTCCGGAAATGGACCGTGGAGTACGTAGAGTTATTGCCATAACCTACGATATCACACTTCGAGGCCTCCCGCGGGAGACCAACTTCAATGAGCTTCACAATGATCTCTCTCATGGATTAGTTTTCGTAGCTTTCTAATCTCTCTCATAACTTTCATTCTCTCAAACTCAAAACACTCGAAAGATCTTTACACTAGCTTTTAGCGTAGTGCATCAGTGACGTGGGCTTGGCGGTTGGTTGGCGGTGGAGGCTTGGACTTCATCAGTACTTTCTTGTCCGTATCATCGAACTGGTGCCAGTTCTTCTTTCCTGAACCAGAAAGTTGTGTCCAGTCTTCATCCAGAAGCCGTGCAGATAGGTTCCGTTGTGCCATGAAGACCTGTAGAGGGTCTAGGTCGGTGTCTTGCTCGGTGTCACCCTGATCAGTTGCGTCCTCAATTGTCATCATGTGGGCCCGACGGGACGTGTCAGTGGGAACTCTATGGTCCATGTCAAACCTAGTAGCGGCATTGGTAAGGATCTCCTTGTATTTTTCGTAGGTGTAAGCGGCTTGGGAGCCATTGTTGCAAATGCCTTCTTGTTCCCGAGCACTGATGTCATTGAGAAGCTTGATTTTGACGAAGGCCTGTTGCAGGAACAGTTTCTTGATGCTGTCACTGAGACGATCGGTTTCAGTGGGCTTGGAGTCATTGTACTGGGTGAGGACCTCGTCAAACTTGATGATGAATTCGACTGCGGAACCCTTGCCGACTGTGGAATACTTGACACTGGTGAGCCAGTTGAGGGTCTCTACAGATTCTAGGGATCCTTCCACAGAGGTGTGCGCATCCTGTATCAGCTCCAGAAGAATGTGAAAACAATCACAATCATGAAAGTGATCCTTAACTATAACCTTGCCTCTTGTGATTTTGACAATCTTCTGCAGGACGGCATAGAACCATTCATTCATCCTGCGTAGCTCATACTTGGAGTCCTTGTCTGGTGGTATGTAGCTGGCGTCAAAAAGGTTGTAGAATCCCTGAGCCCGGGCCGTTGTGATAAATACGTTGTACCATTGGTCAAAGGATTTGTTGGTCTTCAACACAGGGTATGCGTTGGCATCCTGCTTGGCATGGAAAGGCTTGCGTCTGGGGCCGCCTCCTCCACCAGAGTCTGAGGAATCTCCACTGCCATCAGGGTCTCCAGAGCCACCTGGTGGTCCTGGTGGACCACCATATCTACTATGCCCACCAAAGCCTCGGTGGTGGTAGCTGTCATCACCATGGTATCCTGAGCCTCCGGGGTCCCCAGGATCACCAAACCTGTTTGGGTTCCTATGAGCTAACTTGGCCATTGGGGATGTACCTTGCAGGTTTGAGAAGAGGGAAGGCCTGCACTTGATCTTCTCTGTACCTCTGTTCAATGGGTTGAGTCCAAAGATTGGATTCTCCATGGATGTCTCCTCCAGTGGCATACCCTGATGTCCAGGTGAGGTGTAAGCCGTGGTAGGAGTGAGTCCAGTAGATGGTGGGGTGTGAGTAGGTGGTTGACCTTGTTGAAAGAATCTGCCGCTGACAGCCGACATGACCCATGCTCCTTGGTCTGTAAGGAACAGCCCATTGGGGTACCTCCTGTTAACCCAATGTGCAGGATCAGTGGGTACATTGATTGGTAATTCGTCAGCATCTAAGGCCCTCTCATAGGTGATCCATACCTTCCTCATGTCTCGAGTGAGAATCCATCTTCCAAAGTAGTGAGTTTCCTGCTTGTAGGGAAGGGCATCAGGGAAGATCAGGTCAGGTTGCCTGTTGTAACCATGGTTGCTCCTAGGGTTGTGGTAATACTTGGGGTATTGGAAGCCATTGCTGACTGGTTGAACAAGTTGGATGGGTGCACTGGTAGATGGCACTGGTTGGACAGGAGTGTAGGGCAGGGAGAATGATGAAGGTAGACTGCTGCCAGGGGTTGGTGGTGGCCTTGGTATGCTGCCAGATGTGTTGGATGGTTGGGTTGAATGAGTTGAATGAGTCTTATCCTCCTCCTTGAGGGCCCTCAAATGGTCAATGACTTCATCTCCATCAAGTGGAGTGGCAACACTGATATCCACCTGGGGCTGAGGAGTTGGACCAAGATGGTCCTCAACATCATTTATCAAGCCTGGACCCGAATCAGCTGGTTCTGAACTGCCTTGAGACTGTGCTATAGAACCAATGGTCCCTTCCACACTTCTGCTCATGGACAGTAAACCAGTAGGATTGTGGTCCAATGAAGAGGATGTATTGGAAGGAACAGGGCTGATTCCTCCAATTCCCATGGGGCCAAGTTGCTTGTTGGTTTGGTTCATCAAGGAATGGACCAAGCCATGGATGGAGACATTGGATTGATTGATATCCTGTTGTTGTTGGGATAGTCTGGCTTCAAAGGTAGCCTGGAGTTCCCTTGTCTCCTCCTTCTGTTGTTGCAAAGCTTCCACCAATCGTGCCAATTGATGGCTGAGCATTGTAGTGTCCTGGTTGGCAAGGTTAGAGGATGCAACAGATGATTCACTTGTTTGGTAGGATGGTGGGGGAACCACAGGTAGTCGGTGAACTGAAGGAGGATCCACTGGTGACTTGACAGGAGTGGACGGTGGTGGTTCATTGCTACCTGGTGTTGTTGCCGGTGGTGTAGGTGTTGCCAGCAGTGTGGCCACATCCTGTGGTGGTGGCTGCTGTTGTTGTTGCTGCTGCAGCTATTGCTGTTGGTGCCGCTGCTGCTGCTTCTTCCTCCTCTGGCTTCTACTAGTACCCATGATGTCTGCTGTTGTGCTGGCTGAGTGTGGTGTAGAGGTGTTGAACAAACACTGTCACAAAAAATCCAAAATGAGACTTGAAAGCGTGCACTGCTAGAGGATGACCAAATGGGGTGTCCTCTATTTGTTGGTAACCTTGGATCCTTTCGAAATGGTCTAACGGTGCTCTCGTGGTGTTGCGAGTTACTCACTCGCGTAGTGGATCAACACCTATCTTCAGTACGGAGCCATGGAGTTCTCGAATCGATCGAAATTGCGACCTTCGAACCGTATCCAAACCTCGGCGCGCTTTCGGAACAGAGGTACGTTGCGAGTGACGTTCCGTACCGGTTTTGTGAGTACCATGTGAGTACCGGTTCTCTTCACCGCAGTACCTTCCTCCGCAGGCACGACTGGGAATTTCCGTAAAGGAAGGTGGACAATGATGTAGGATCAATCGGCCGATACGTTCACTCGACAGCCGCTCGAACGAAGCCGCTTAACAAGGAACTGGCTGGTGTATCCTCTCAAGCACCCTCAGGTTGGTAGGTGGACCACTTGGTTTGGCCGCTACCGCTCTGTTATTCGTTGAGTTAAGTCGATCGGCAGATCTCGATCGCGAATTTCCTAGTAAGTCCACAATGACGGTCTATTCTGCTATCGGCAGTCGTAACCAAGGTGTATAACAAGCGACCGATGATGGTAGCTTGTAGAGGAGGGCTTGGTTGATAGGTGACTTACTTGGTTCGATCGTAAACGATCGCGATTCGAGTTTTCGGCACGATCGAGTATCAGCAGGTTGTTCGTGATGGATCGGCAACTCTCCTCTTCTTCTTTCACAACGATTTCCACACTGTAGCCACTCTTGTGCGTGCTTGCAACAAGTTAATCCTATGAATCTCCGCCAATGAGACTCAGTGGTAGGAACACAAGAGCTGGGAGTGGAGATCTCTGCTTGGCGATCTCACTCCTCTGGCACTGGAATGGAGCCAGCTCCAAAGCTGGCTACCTCTGCTATTCAATCTCTTGGGAAGTAATGGTTGAGCTATCAATGCTTACCCAAGCACTGGCCACACAGGATCCGGTCAACTGCAAGGCTCTAGGTGTGCTTCTCAGGGACTTCTCTGGTCAACCTTCTTTCATTACTTTAAACTATGCTAAGATCAACTGAACACAAAATCCTCGACAGCACTCAGCCATGCAGCTTTGACTCTCTTGCATCTCATTTGGCTGGTACTGATAAGCTAACTTTCTATATTGGTCTTGGCTGAAGAACTGCATCATCCTTGGAGATATAGAGTTCCTCAGCTATCTCTGGATTAACAGATGGTGATACTACTCACGGTACTGTTGGAGTATACACATGTCACAGCGATCTTTCCACATGGCTAAACCTGCACAGCTGCTTCGCACCACTATGGGAATTCACGTGGGTTTCCACTCATCGAGACGAGCGTGACATTGTGATCGAAAGGTTACCAAGAGGAGTTCCAGGCAATCCGACAGAGCAAGCTAGCAATCGACCAAGCATTGTAGACCCAACTGATGGACCATTCGAAGGCCCAGCCAAAGCAAGCAAGCTGACAAGAGTTGGAGTCCGCAGCGCAGGTCTGCCAGGATCGCAGCCAAGCAAGGAACCACGAAGGGAGTCACTTCCGCACAGGAGTGTACCAAGACCGAAGATCAGGAACCTAAGAAAAAGCCGCTTCAGTATGAGACAATGGCGGCAAAGACAATGGCACAGTTCATTCATGAAATCAACCACGGCAGGACCAAAGATGACTCCGTGGAAAGAGCAAGTCATGCGCAGCAGCACTTCTTGCCCAAGGGATTGAAGATCTGGGGCGACAGGGCCAAGGAAGCAGCACGAAAAGAGATGGATCAGCTACACAGCCGTGTGGCATTCGCACCAGTTCAACCAGAGGAGTGTAGCAAAACAGAACTCAAGAAGTCGCAGGTGACGCTTATGTTTGTTACAGAGAAGTGAGACAGGACCGTCAAGGCTCGAGCCGTTTTCAATGGGAAACCAACCAGAGCTTATCAGGACAAGGATGAGACCCGAAGCCCTACAGTGTCGTTGAAAGGACTGATGCTTTCCATGTGTGTTGACGCTAGTGAAGGGCGTGACGTTATGACTTTGGATGTACCGAATGCCTTCATCCAGACAGCATTGCCGCAACCCAAGGATGGTGGTGACAGGATGATTATGAAGATCGAAGGTACTCTCGCAGAGCTACTCGTGGAAATTGACCCTGACACTTACAAGCCGTTCCTTGTCTATGAGAAGCGGAGACTTATCGTCTACGTTGTGGTATTGAAGGCACTCTATGGAATGCTCATTGCAAGTCTGCTTTGGTACAAGGCGTTCCGCAAGGATTTGGAGTCCATTGGTTTTGAATTCAACCCCTACGATCCTTGTGTTGCCAACAGGATGGTGAATGGCAAGCAACAGACTATCCGTTTACATGTCGACAACCTCATGTCCAGTCATATGATGGCCAAGGTAAATGATGATTTCCTGGCCTGGTGCAACGAGAAGTATTGGTACCTACGGTGCTGTCAAAGAAACCAGAGGACCCAAGTATGATTATCGAGGGATGACGATTGATTTCTCTGAGTCGGGCAAAGTCAAGATCGACATGATTGACTATTTGACCAAGATACTCGAGGAGTTCCCTGTAAACTTTGACCATGTCCGTTCCGTTCCGAGTGCAGCCCCAGCCGATTTGTTTTCTGTGGGTGACGGTGACAATCTGGACTATGAGACGAAGGATACCTTCCACACGAACACAGCCAAGCTACTCTTTGCCTGTAAGCGTGCACGTCCAGAAATGCAAACCCTGACTACCGTCCTTTGTACTCGAGTGAAGCAGCCGAGCCAGAACGATTGGGGCAATCTTCTCCAAGGCCTCAAGTTTATTCAACAGACTTTGAATGACAAGCTCATCCTCCATGCTGACGACGTTCGCATTATCCGCTGGTGGGTGGATGCCAGCTTTGCTGTGTATCCAGACTACCGTTCCCATACCGGAGGAGTGCTCAGTTTCGGCCGCGGTGCCCCAATTGCTGTGTCTAGCAAGCAGAAACTCAACGCCCGAAGCAGTACCGATGCCGAACTCATTGGAGCTGACAATGTTATGAGCCCTTTGTTGTGGACCAAGTTGTTTTTGGAAGCCCAAGGTGTTGATGTTCGGGAGAACATCCTTTACCAAGACAACAAGAGTGCTATCATTCTCGCTGAGAATGGTAAGAGCAGCGCCGGTAAGCGTACTCCGTGCTCTTAATGTGCGTTTCTTCTTTATTCACGACCAAGTGAAGCAGGGAAATGTACGAGTGGTGTATTGTAAAGAGTAAACAGTAAAGAGTAGAAAATCCTTATTGCGGACACTGTGTACTAAGGATTTTAACAAAAACTTGAAACTTTCACGACTGACAACAACCTCTTTATAAAAACATCCTCTTATCCTCTTAACATCCTCTTAAATCTTCAACTCCCCTTCAACATCCTCTACATCCTCTTAACAACATCCCCCTTAAAGCTTCGAAACATCATCTTAAGCCTTCATTGAAACACCATAGGACTTCCTCTTATCACGAATGAACATCCCTTTTTTAAACCCTGGACGAAATCGACTCACTGCACTTCGATGAGGCACTGAACAAAGAGCTGGACTGGTACCAACTCAGGTACCGACCCTTCAAGACAAGATACAATGTTACGCCTAACTACAAAGCAAATGAACCACAAAGACAAGCCAAGCAACAAAAGAGGAACCGGAACCGATCATTATTCTTCTGTACAAGGGGTACTCCAAAGCATGGACAAGATAATCAACAACCTCAAGAAGAGCAACAACCTCGAATGGATCAGAACGTCTAGACATCTATGTCTTGCTATGCATCGATTTACCAACCTGAGAGAGATGTTCAAGGAAACTCATCAACGACCTAATCTCCACCGAGTTCCAAAATGAACCTTGCAATTGCATAGCAGGGAACAAGAGAAACGGCCAATGCCGATTTGACAACAACTGTAGAAACAAAACTGGTCATATACTGCATCAAACACATATAAACTCGGGCAAGAAATACGTTGGGGGCAACCCAACAACAAAAACCCAAAACACGAAATACACCAACACTAAAAAACGCAAATCAGATTCATACGCAAGACACTTCGCCAACCAATTCCAAATCTTTGCACCGAAGGACCTCCTCCTCAATTTCAGCTTCTTCGCTAAATGCGGGCTGGCTAGAAAAGCACTAACAGTTCCGTATGCCAGCTCTGAGAGTAACTTGCCAGTCCAACCTGTTATATAATCCACCACAGCCTTGGAATCGTGGCCGTGCTTGAGGCATTTTTTGGATGGTTATCGTGTGTCCCTTCTTGCCGCAGAACGGGCAAAAGTTGCCTTCGCTAGTTGTCATATTGTCCGTTTTTCTCTTCTTTGTCAGTTGCTTCACAGCTTTCAAAGTATCGATTCGTATCACCTCCTCCAGGAGCTTGGCTTGTAGAAGATCGGTGTCTTCAGTCAGTCCAATCGTTTTGTCGCGAATTCTGCCTGAGTTAGATTATGCTGAACGTGGGTTATCATGTCGATTCCAAGCTCTAGGAATATACGGTTGAAAAACTCGATATATCCAAGGGAGACGATGCCGACGACAAAGGCAAGCAAGACGGTTGGCCAGTGAACGAGAGCCGGAAAACACCTTGTTCTTGGGTGCAAACC